GCCTTCCGGTTCTTGCGTGCGTCTGACGTCACTTCCCTTTGACGCGTTTTGTCATCCAACTTAGTCAAAGGATCACTAAGTCGGATGATGAAAACGCGTCAAATGGGAAGTGACGTCAGACGCACACGATAACCGGAAGTGAGGCGGTGGCCATTTTAGTAGTGGCAAAAGCACACCAAACTATCTGTTGACTGCAGAGGATTGGTGAAAGGCAAGAGAGGACTTGAAGTGGGGGGGGGGGCAGCCATTTTAGTAGTGGCAAAAAGCACACCAAACTATCTGGAGATTGCAGAGGATTGTTAAAAGGTCTGATATTACTGGATCAATGCGGTTTTAAGGAGTGCATATTGTGAGTACACTGAATAAAGATATTACATGGTACAGTGGCGGTATTACACTATTCCCCATATATTTTGGCAATTTGGTGGAGTATGGTGTAAGGAGGAGTATGGAGCTGACTTGCTGATGGATCCTGAGGATAGAAAGAGAGAGGGATAACCATAAGGATTCTTTCGAGGTCTATAGAACTTCCATTGCTATTTGGATAAGGCTTAGTTATTTTGTTGCTCTGGTAAGGGGATTTATTCCTTACTTTAATAGAAGTGAACACGGTTTTTCACCTGTGTGGCCCAAGGCATGTTTCACTTATACACTTGCACTCTAATCACCATAGAGGATTCACAAGTGTGTTTTTTTGTGGAGTGCATTCACTCAAAGTTTATTTATGTAAAAGGATAATGCACTATGTTTTTTCTTTCTCTTTGAGGTGATTTTGATCGTGCAAGCCTGTGGGAGGCTCTAATATTGAGATTACTGTGCGGAATCACATATTTGACAACTACAAACACTGGGGTCATAGTTTTGGAATTTAGAATTTTGGACATATTTTGATTTTTTTTGGGGGGGGGGGGGGGGGGGGGATTTTGTATGTTTTTGATTGATAATCAAAAAATGCCACTCAATATAAATAATAAATTTGACAACTTCAAGGGTGAAGGTGGATTTATGCTACTGGAGTATATTTATTTATTTATGTAGTATATTGTCAGTGGTTTGGAGTAGTATTAATAGTATGATCCTTAAGGATACTTTCTCATCACAGGAAAAGATGTCATATATACTCCCTTCCGCAGTATCTCTTACTCCTCTCAGACTCCTTAAAGGTACAGTACTGCAATACAGCTCACGCTCCACTCTCTGTTACATTCATTCTGCCCAATGGTCCTATTTTCCAATTCCAACCCTGGAATGTGTGCCATGCATGGTCAGCTTAACACTCTATAGGATTTTCAGTTTCTTGTTTGACTGCAGATGCCCTGCTGAAGGTGGTGCTGTGGGTTCTGCAACCTCAACCTCCAATTCTTTGTAGCTGGCTGAGGATTCCAGGTTTTCTATTTAGTTGTCCAACACTGGAAGAACTAGAAACGTGTCCTGGATACAGTTTTGTCAAAACTTTGAAAATAATTGATCTGAAGCCCCACCCAGAGTTTTTTTTTACATACTGTCACCAGTGCAGTACAGCGTCATCACATAACTGGCATGGCAATGATCAGGGACACTGGTGACAGTACGGAAAAAAAAAAATAATTTTTTTAAAATGTTTATTACATTTTTTTTTTCATATTTCACTATGACCAAAGTAGTATAATGTTACCATAGTAACATTGTACTAATTTGGGGAAGTGATCAGCATTTTGTTTTTTGCACACAATTTGCTTATAGCAAATACCGTATTTATTCGAGTATAACGCGCACACGTGTATAATGCGCACCCCTAATTTTCGATTAAAAATCGGTATAAAAATTTTGTTTCACTTTTCCTCAGCTCAGACCAAGCATTGTAATTGACAAACGTTGAACACGTGCGGCCATGATAAAAATCATTTATTGACAAGGTAAACACAATACCGAAATAAAATTACCGGTAACAATATTTATTTAAAATGCTTCAAAGTCAGATTCATCATCATCAGATACACTAAAGAGTTGTTCCCATTCTTCTAGAGTTAATTTATCATGAGTGTCCCAGTTGGCAGGAACATCTGTTTCTCCAGCTTCTTCGCTTTCTTCTGAGTCTGAATTCCACAGCAGGTCGTCTTCTGTGCCGTCCATTTTATTGCTGATGCCTGTCTTTAAAAAACTCTTGATGATCATTTCTTTTGGCATGTCTTCCCATGATGTTTTAATCCAAGATGTAACGAGAGATAGGCCAGGTTTCTTGAGGTTTCCTTTTGCAGTCAATTCTTTGTCTTCGGATTTCATCCAGGTAATCCACTTTTCCCTGACTCTGTCTTTGAAGGGTTTGTTTAAAACAACATCGAGTGGCTGAAGAATAGAGGTTAGTCCACCTGGAATCACAGCTTGAAATGTCTTTAGACTTTTCAGTTTGTCTTTCACAGTGTCTGTCAGGTGTGAGCGGAACTGGTCCCATACAAGCATGGATTTCTTCAGTAGTGCGCCTGGTCTAGTATTCCAAACTTTATTTAACCATAAAATGATGCCCTTCTCATCCATCCATCCTTTAGGATGACAATGGATCACGACACCTGGTGGAAATTTAACTCCTTTTGGAATAGTCTTTCTTTTAAAAATCTTTTTAAAACCGTCTGCCATACAGGATAACGCAACCGTAAAATGAGTTTTCTCATGGCCTGTGGTTTTAATCTGGACTGTGTGCTTCCCTTTGCTGTCAATTGTCCTGTTGCCTGGTAGGTCAAAACACATGGGGGTCTCATCCATATTGCCTATCTGTGAAATTTCAAAATTAATCTGCTTGCGTTGGTTGATTATAAAGGTATGGAATGAAGTGATCTTCTCTGCTAAATCATTTGGCAGCTTCTGCGCTATCTTTGTTTTCTGGCGTATTACAAGTCCATGCCTTTTCATAAACTTTTGTGTCCATCCATTAGAGGCTTTGAAGGTTGAATCTTTGCAAAACTTTTGGGCTTGAAGTCTAATGTGGAGTGATGTGACAATGTACCCACTACTTCTTTGGTCAATGATCCATTCATAAAGTTCCTTCTCCATGTCTGGGTACATGGCTTGTCTCCCTCGTTGTGCTTTTTTGGTTTTATTCATATCTTTCAGGACGACTTTCTGTTTTCTCCATTCTCTAACATTCGTCTCTGGTACAGTGAATTCTCGGCTAGCTGCTCGATTTCCGTGAATTTCAGCATGACCAACAACTTTGAGCTTGAATGAAGCGTCATATGCAGAACGTTTTCTCTTGATTCCCTGAGTTGCCATGTAACGGGTACCAGTATATCAATAAATAATATGAAGAACACTGAATATGATTATAAAATGAAGAACACAGCAAAACAGCAATGCTTACCGTAACATGTGGGCGAGGAAAGGAAATGAAGAAGCGACCATACGAAATGAAGAGGCACAGGGGACGTTTTTTCTTCTTCTTTCTTTCTACAGTGAGCGCATGCGCCCTCAATGGACCGGCCGCCACTGCGTCACCCCACCAGTGCATCTCGCCAGTTCGGGCCGCCCACTGTACGCGACAAGGGGACGTAGAAAAAAAAAACGATCCCCTGTTTTCGCCGCCCCTTAAAGGGGCGGGGCCGGCACAGGGGACGTTTTTTTTTTTCTTCGCGTACAGTGAGCGCCTGCGCCCTCAATGGATCGGCCGCCACTGCGTCACCCCACACCAACCCTCGTTTATAACGCGCACCCAAACTTTGATTTCTTTTTTTGGTTTAAAATTTTGCGCGTTATACTCGAATAAATAAATACGGTAATTACTTTGCTATAAGCAAGCATTTACCTGAATGAAATAGATTCTTTCAGGGTTTTTTTTTTTTTTTTGTGCTTAGCTGTGATTTGGCCACAGCTGATCACATGACACAGCTGGGCTGTGATTGGCCCAGCTTGTGCATGTGATCGCTGTGACCACTCACAGCTAGACACAATTGTATACAATGGATGGCAGGAAAGGAAGCCATCCATTGTATACAACTGTCATGTGATCTGCTGTGATTGGTCACAGCAGGTCACATGGTACTGGCAAAAGGGCTGGTACACAGATCCATCATCGGCCGTGTCCGAGGTACAAGGACGGTGAGAGATCGCACCGCAGCGAGGCCCTGCGTGCATGTGCAATACACATTCCAGAAAGGACGTCATATGGCGTCCACCAGGAGGGACGAGCTGTTAAAACTGCAGTGGGAATCCTATATTTATAAATAAAAAAAAAAAAAAAAAAAGCCACACAATGACCATGCAGCACCCTGGTGATTTTTATGACCCTCATTTTCTGGTAGATTTCCCCCACTCCAGGGTTGTCTACCCCTGAATTTTTCCTAGTCTTGCTTCAACTTATTACCTTTAGGTGGTACATGCACTGAGCACTCATCTTTTCTGTATATTTTTTGGTTGAGCTACGAATTTGCGTTCCAAGTTGTGTAGTTAGGTTGAAAAAAGACAATCTATGACCTATAAAAAAAAATGTTGCATCATCAACACAAGTACAGGAGTTTACAGCTCTTTAAAAATGTATATTTGAAATAAAATAAAACAGCCAGATTTTGGTTTTGTTGTTAATTTCATTTTATTGGTTCACAAAGACGCTTCGTGAAAATTTCAGTTCAGCATCTTGTGAGCAGTTCGTATTTTAAGTCACCGATTCATAACATCAAGTAACTGCCACAATACGATATCTTAAATTAACTTCTTTAAAAAGGCCAGACAAGATATTTACATACATAGAACATACTCGTTCTGGTTTTCAACATGCCCATATTACACAATCATACAAACGGCATATACAGTAGACAGTAAATACATCAAAATCCATAAAAACAGACGTTACAGAAAGCTGTACAAAAATAAATTTTTATTAAAAGCAGCTGAAATTGTAGCGAGGGAACAGTACAGAGAAGAACCAGATCACTAAAATTGGCTATGGCCGTTAGGCCTACTACAAAACGCGGGTCGCAAAACGCGAATAGTACATTACACCGAATATGGAGGTCTCTTCACAAGAAGAGGATTCACCGGAGTCTATCCCAGCGCCAAATGGTGGCATCGTCACATACAGCTATGAGAGTACTACTATCCCGGCTGAAGCTGGTCTGTCGGATTGCCGCTACGCATTTGGGATGTGTGAGGGTTGTACACCTGGGAAAAACAAAGAATTGTAATTATTTAAAAATCAAGTGAAATTGGGAAGGGGGGGGGGGGGGGTGTTGTTCACAGACAAATCCTCTGCCTAAAAAGCATAATCAAAGTGATTTCTTTAAGGCGTCTCTGAAAGCAACAATGGAAGAAAACCTATTTCAGAGACTGTTGTGTGGAAATGTGGGAAACTGATTGTGAGACATTTAGCAACTCTGTCACAAAGCTAGGCAATGCTAAACAGGAGCAATGAGATCGACTGAAAGACATTACTGAGCAAATGTGTGACTAACTTAGAAAGAAATCCTACACAGCAAACTTACAGATTAGCACGTCTGCACCAAATTCATCACTGGAGAGATTCCACGCAAAACAGATGCGTAATTAAAGCTGAACTCTGGTGATTAGAAGATGATCTGGACCAGGGGCGGACTGACCATTTGGAAACTTGGGCACTGCCCGGGGTCAGTAGGGGGCCCCATGAGATGCCCCTGGTACCCTTTTTATAGGCTTTTTTGAGTTTGGGCAAGGACACAGGTGCCCCATGATCCCCTATTGCCCGGAGGCCCCATGAGTTGTCAGTCCGCCCCTGATCTGGACAGCTGCACACCCTGAGAATCTCCTTTATTAAAGTGGTAGTAAACTCTCCCTATTACATTTTCCCCATTTTAATAAACAACACATACTTTATATATTGCTGCCTCTAGACCTCGTCATCTGCTTACGTTTCCTGCAATGCGTTGCTGTTCACTTGACATCACCAGCACATGTCCCGTTTATGGCACGCTTGTCGTGTGTTAGTCCTTTCAGGAACATGCCATGGCTCCGTCATGTCCTCACTGCAGTATTGCTCTGCAATGCCCCATGGAGAATTTCCTGTGTACACCCCCGTGCCGTTGCAAGTCACATGGGGTGTAAACATTGGTGCATAGCACGGGGCAGAGTGAGTGAGATCACCTGGATCAAATCCAGACTGTATCTGACACTGCAAAACACATATATAAGAGGAACTAAAGCACTCTCCCTCCATATTAGTACATCGTAGATTAGTACCTGTGGAGTGAAACTGGCATAGCCAAGCCTAGTGCACCTGCATCAAACAGGGTTGCCATAGTAGGCTTTGCTAAAGCCTCTCTAGCCATGAAGGGAGAAAGGACAGAAACCCATATTGCTGCTGACTCGGAAGAAAATAGAGGCGAACCTCGGTTTGCGAATTTAATTCGTTCTGGGGGGCTTTTCGTAATGCAAAAAATTTGTAAACCGAAACGCGATTTCCCATAGGAATGCATTGAAAACCAGCTAATTTGTTCCGGAGGTCAGAAAAAAGTCCTTAAAGTGCACTTTATAAAGAGTTTTGAACAGATAAAAAAAAAAAGTCTTTGATCTGTTCAAAACTCTTTATAAAGTGCACTTTAACCACTTCCTGACCAGCCGTTGCATATAAAACGGCCGGACGGTGGCAGTGCAGGGTCGGGTGGCTGTTTATAAACGGCCTCCCCGCACCCTGCTTGTGCACGCTCCCTGGGAGCTGTGCCCACTGTGTCCTCGGGACACAGTGAAACACCGATCGTCGGACACAGAGGTCCCGATCATGTGATCACTGATTGGCGAATCAGTGATCACATGCAAAGTAGTAAGCAAGATGTCACTTGTGACATCATTGCTTACTACGTGTGAAATCTGTGAATGATCACAGAGGTCACATGGTAAAAAGGCTATTCACAACAGCCTTGTACCATGTGACAAGCTGTGACCAATCACAGCTCACTCAGTACTTCTCAATGAGTGCAAGAATGCACACAGAGAAAGAGAAATGATTGCTTTTACACCTATATAGGATGTAAAAGCAATCAGTGTAAAAAAAAAAAAAAAAAAAAAAAAAAAAAATTCATCATCCCCCACAAATAGTACAGTGTCACCATGGTGACACTGTACTGCTAGGGTGACAGTATGTAAAAAAAAATTCAATAAATATAGAAAAATAAAATAAAAATGTAAAAAAAAAATGTTTAAAAATGATAATTTTTGGTTATAAACTAATTCGGATTTTTTTTTTTAATAAAAAGATAACGGAAAAAATTTTGGCCAAGATTTATTATGAAATATTATTTGCAAAATTTTATTTTAAAAAAACACTTTTTTCAAAATTTTTGGACTTTTTCATTTACATAGCAAAAAAAATAAAAATCCCAGCGGTGAATAAATACCACCAAAATAAAGCTTTATCTGTCTCAAAAAAATGGTAAAATATTCATTTGGGTACAGTGTTGCATGACCACGCAATTGTCATTCAAAGTGTGATAGCTCTGAAAGCTGAAAATTGGCCTGGGCAGGAAGGGGGTGAAAGTGTCCGGACAGGAAGTGGTTAAGGACTTTTTTACATTTTTCTGCCCTCCAGAACAGATTAATTGATTTTCAGTGCATTTACTAATTCATTTGTAATCATGTCTTTTAAAGTTCACTTGGGCATGAGTTCACTTAGGCATGAATACTGTACAAAGACATGATTAAAAATGAATTAGTAAATGCACTGAAAATCAATCCATTCCAGAGGTCAGAAAAAAAAAAAGTTAAAAGTTTTATCTCTGTTCAAAACTCTTTATAAAAGTGCACTTTAAAGGCATAAAGGGACATGATTAAAAAAAAATTTGTGAATGCATTGAAAATCAATCTGTTCCGGAGGTCAGAAAAAAGTAAAAAAAAAAGTCTCATCTGTTCAAAAAAACTCTTCATAAAGTGCACTTTAAAGGCATAGTACTGTACAGGGACATGATTAAAAAAAAAAAAACTAAATGCATTCAAAACCAATTAATCCGTTCGCATTGCGAAAAAAAATTTGTATACCGAAGCATTATTTTCAATGGATTTTCATTCGTAAACCGAAAATTACGTTGAGGCAATCGTAAACCGAGGTATGCTTGTACATAACATAGTGCTGGCTTCGGACGGGAGGAAAATAAAAACCACACCGAATAACAGTAAGCAGCATCCGAAGGGATCGCTAATTACCGTATATACTCCAGTATAAGCCGAGTTTTTCAGCACATTTTTTGTGCTGAAAAACGGCCCCCTCAGCTTATACTCGAGTCAACGTCTGCAGGGGGCTGCTGTCTCTTACCTGGCTCCAGTCCCACGACGATCCGGTCCAGGAAGCGCGGCTGCTCCTTCATTCGGTTCGTCCACTGGATGTTCGCGCGGCTGCTCGGCTCCGCCTTCTCACCAGTGATTGGTCGCCAGAACTGTAGCTCAGGAAAGGCACACAGGCGGCCAATCACCGGCGAGGAGGCAGAGCTGAGCGGCCCCGCGAAAATCGAGTGAAGGAGATGCAGGTAAGTGTGCCGTTCTTAGGTACTGCTGCAACCACATATGCTGGCTGCAGCAGCACCATACTGGAACAGGGGTCAGCAAGTGTCAGTGGGAGGAATAGTGCCCCATCATTGGTGTCACTGATACCAATGATGGGGCATTATTCCTCCCACTGACACCAACGATGGGGCACTTTTCCTCCCCCCCACTGACACCAACGATTGACACCAACGATGGGGCACTATTCCTCCCCCCACTGACACCAACGATGGGGCACTATTCCACCCCCCACTGACACCAATCATGGAGCACTATTCCACCCCCCACTGACACCAATCATGGGAGCACTATTCCCCCCCCCCCCCCACTGACACCAACGATGGGGCACTTTTCCTCCCCCACTGACACCAACGATGGGGCACTATTCCTCCACCCCCCCCCCCACTGACACCAACGATGGGATACTATTCCTCCCACTGACACCAACGTTGGGACACTATTCCTCCCACTGACACCAAGATGGGACACTATTCCTCCCACTGACACCAAAATAGGGTGCTATTCCCACTGATACCAATGATGGGGCGCTATTCCCGCCACTGACACCAATGATGGGGCGCTATTCCCCCCACTGACACCAATGATGGGGCGCTATTCCTCCCACTGACACCAATGATGGGGCGCTATTCCTCCCACTGACACCAATGATGGGGCGCTATTCCTCCCACTGACACCAATGATGGGGCGCTATTCCTCCCACTGACACCAATGATGGGGCGCTATTCCTCCCACTGACACCAATGATGGGGCGCTATTCCTCCCACTGACACCAATGATGGGGCGCTATTCCTCCCACTGACACACCAATGATGGGGCGCTATTCCTCCCACTGACACCAATGATGGGGCGCTATTCCTCCCACTGACACCAATGATGGGGCGCTATTCCTCCCACTGACACCAATGATGGGCACTATTCCTCCCACTGATACCAATGATGGGGCACTATTCCTCCCACTGACACCAATGATGGGACACGATTCCTCCCACTAATACCAATGATGAGGCACTATTCCTCCCACTGATACCAATGATGAGGCACGATTCTTCCCACTGACACCAATGATGAGGCACGATTCTTCCCACTGGTGTTCCCACCCTCGGCTTATACTCGAGTCAATAGTTTTTCCCAGTTTTTTGTGGTAAAATTAGGTACCTCGGCTTATATTTGGGTCGGCTTATACTCGAGTATATACGGTAGCAAAAACAAATTGTCTCAATTGGGGGGTAAATGATTTTCAGTATCTGCTTGATGTACTGTTTTTCCCTACATTGCTTCATATTACAGTTTACAATAAGCCCCGTCTGCGAAACAGGAGACAATATGTCATGTCCTTGTTTTGGCTGTGCTTTATTAATATAGGAATAGAGAAGATAGCATATAGATCATATACAACTAGAAAGTATTTTTGGAACAAAAAAAATATTAAATGTTTAAGTTGCCATAAAGCCTCTTTTGTTTTTAAAAGCCCCAACATTAATAAAATCACCTCCGATTTAAATACGGTTTTGGTTAAAAAAAAATTTTCTTTTTATCTGGACAAGTAGATTGTCATGAGGGCAAGTAGATTGGGGCCCCGATTTAGTCCCTGGACAAGTAGTTTTTTTTTTTAAATTTCCACACCCCTCTACTGTATCCAAAATATGTTACTTCGATTCGTATTAACCCACACTGTGGTGTCGAGATAGGACCTGCGTGTGTGAATGTAAGCGCAACGCGTTAATGTCACATAGTGTCACGTGACATCACCATACCACGGTCTTACTCGTTATCCTGACGAGGCTACGTGTGAATGTAAGCGCAACGCGCGTTGATGTCACATTGGGGTTTATTTACTAAAGCTGGAGAGTCCAAAATCAGACTCCCTTCTGCATAGAAACCAATCAGCTTCCAGGTTTCATTGCCAAAGCTTCATTGAACAAGCTGAGGTTAGAAGCTGATTGGTTTCTATGCAGAAGGGAGTCTGATTTTGGACTCTCCAGCTTTAGTAAATAAACCCCATAGCGTCACATGACATCACCATACCACGGTCTTACTCGTTATCCTGACGAGGCTACGTGTGAATGTAAGCGCAATGCGTTGATGTCACATAGCGTCACGTGACATTACCATACCACGGTCTTGCTCGTTATCCTGACGAGGCTACATGTGAATGTAAGCGCAAAGCGTCGATGTCACATAGCTTCATGTGACATCACATAGCGTCACGTGACATCACCATACCACGCCTGGACACCATGGCAATGGATTATGTGGAGTGACAGCAGTTGGACGGTTATAGCCTCGAGTACCACGAACTGCTAAAGTTTCCCGATGGGAATATGTGAGGGAAGGTCTACAGGGTGGTTGGACTGTATCCCAACACCACAGTGTGGGTTTATATGAATCGAAGTAACATCTTTTGGATACAGTGATAATGGATCCACTCAATAATTCCACACATCACTGACACTCTTGGTCTGGCTCCCCTAATGAACTGATAATTATTAAATATTACTTGTTAACATGAAGTAATTTTTGATCTAAGCCTCGTTTGCCGTCAGAGTAACCGCCGGTCTCATACGGAGGGCTTCACCCCCTTGATTGAGACTATTTGTTGTCATTTTACCCATAACAACAAAAATACTCACAAAGTGATAAGGCGATCAGTACTCCATTGTTATTTGTGTAACGAGGATCGCTAATTAGGCAAATTGTATCGGAAAGCTTTCTCACACTGGCTGCATTGAGAAGGAGCAATTGAGGGGCAAAGTCTACTACCGCCTTAAGTATGACAAAACAGCCACGGAGGCATCAAGCAGAGGAAGCTGGGCAAGGAGCCCATATTTAGGAGCAAAGGAGGTCCCTCAAGATGTGCTGCTGTCCGGATCTTCTTCTAATGCCATCAGTGGTGAGCTGAATCGGCACTCCAACCCTTGGATCGCCATCCCTTGTTTTGGCTTCACCTGCAGCAGTGTTTTTGCACTCTACCCTTGCAGTGAGGTGCCTGCCCATGTTGCAATGGTTGAGTTCTTAGTTTTATGCAGGGAAATTAAAAATAAGTTACATTTACCTTGTCCTTCACTCCCAAAGGCCCCTGCTCTTTATGCGACCAGTCCCCTGAAACCACTTCTCTTCAGTGCCCGTCCACGGGTTGCAAGAGCATTGCGCACAGTAAGCTTTTATGAAACTTTCAGCAAACATTTGCAAAGCTTTCGGCAAGCCTCAGCTCTAAGCCTTTACAGTGCCCTTCGGCTGCTTTTGGAAGCGTTATACGCAGATCTTAATGGGACTGCTGATTGCCACTTTAACCCCTTCACGCCTAAGGGTAAAACATATCTAAATGCCCAAGCACAATTCTGCAATGTTGATGTGTGTTAGTAAAACCGTACAGATCATCACAACTACTTTGTACATCCAGGTGGATTATACCACTTTTTTTTTCAGGACAAATTGGGCTTTCATTTGGTGGTAAATGGTAATGGATATCTCCTGATTTTTTGTATTATCAAAGGAAAACTGGCCCACACAAATGACCTGGTGTGTTTCTTGTTACTACCACACCCTACCATCAAAAGAACCCAAAATACATTCTCCAGCTCTTGACGATCGCAGCGATACCATCTATGTGTATGTTATTTGTTGTTTGTACCCGTAGTACAGCCCAGAACAATAGTGTGCATTTTGTTTTGGTTTTTCTTACCTAAAAACACACTGATACCAATTTTTTTTTTTAATCCTGACCTTTGACCCTGACCTTTTGACCTTGACCCAAACACTTACCCTAGCAATGAACTTGATCAAACCTTGATCTAGGTATTTGTTTCTTTATTTTTTAATATTTTTATTTTTTTTTTTTTTTACAAACTTTTTTCCCCCTCTATGCCAGGAGGTACAGAGATACAATATATCTCTCTCCTCCATTCATAGAGAAAAAAAAAAACAAAAAACAAGAGGGTCGGGCTGTACAGTGACTGATCACTGATAGCCAGAGGCTATCACCGCGATCATGTGACCCGGAATCAGGAGTTCCGGGTCCCGATCGTTAGAATGGAACCCTGAGTGATACCGCAGTTTTTGTGCTGGGAGCGCGCTGTGCGGCGCGCTCCCAGCAGAAAGACAGGTACGCAAATATGCGGTCCCATAGAAAAAAGCCCAGTTCTGTGAGGCCGCATATTTGTGTCAAGGGGTTAAACAAGCTGCTAGCAGGCTTCAGCAGGCTTTCAACAAGCTTCAAGTAGTGCTGAAGCGTGCTAGCAGCGTGTTTAAAGTACCAACCAGCACTTCCTTTAGGATCTGTGTTCAACATTTACAAACTGGAGCTGAATGGTACTTTAAATAACTTCAAAGCTTGCCAAAAGCTCTGCTAATGCTTAGTTAAAGCTTGCTGTTCACACTGCTCTTATAGAAGCTGAAGCGCATGTGAAACTGGCCTTGGTTGTACTTGCATTACCCGCCAAAGCAGTTAAAAGTAGTTTGCAGCGTTTTCTCACAACATTTCATTCTGCACACCTCTGTAAATTCTTCCCACCATTTCTACATGATTAAGCAAGACAGCCAAATGAATCTCTAAGCAAACCCTTTCAGTATAATTATATTTTGTGTAGTGGGAGGAATTATGAACACTGCCAAGTCTCCGCAAGATCACGTGCATCCTCCCGCAAGAAACAACCGCACACAACGCTCCTGATCCGACCACCCAGACACCACTCACGCCGACCCCAACCGAGCTTGACCCAAAGGACTAGAACACTAGCTGAAAGATATTACAACGATAAACCCCACTGCACGCTAGACAATCTCCAATCAAGCGCCCCTGGACACCATCCCTCCACACCTGATCCACACTCCCTTAAACTCCAGCTACCGGAAGACACAGCGATGAGATACGCCACCACACACTGGACTATCCACAGCCACGCCTCCCACCGCACCTATCCGCCACCCCCCGTGTACCTGCCTAAATGCCTCTTCCACTCCTCCTCATACTCCACTCCTCCGTTCGCAAAATCCCTTCTCTATATCCCTCTGCTCCTCCCAAACTGCATATTGTGTCCTCACTGCTTCCTTCGCCCCTCTATGGCACCCACCACCTCCTCCTAATATTCCACCCTCCCACTAACCCAAACACCCACGCTGGTAGACTTACACGCTCCTGCACATCCCGCTCCCATGCCACCTTTCTTCTCCTTCTAACAGCGGGGGACATCTCCCCGAACCCTGGCCCTCCACCACCTCGCTCACCCACAAAGCACCCTCCCGCTTCCACATCCTGCAGCAAGCCCCGCAACTTAGTATCTGTCCCCCTGCTCCCTAAAACCACCCCTCCGTTTTCATGTGCACTCCTGAACGCCCGATCGGTGAGCAACAAGCTTACTGCCATCCACGACCTCTTTGATTCCCACGACCTCTTTGATTCCTGCTCCCTCAACCTCCTAGCGATCACAGAAACCTGGATCCAGCCCACTGACTCTACCTCCCCTGCTGCACTCTCCTACGGAGGTCTCATCTGGACCCACTCACCCAGGCCTAACGGTCGTAAAGGTGGTGGGGTTGGTCTGCTCCTGTCACCGCAGAGCACCTTCCGAGTCCTCCCAAACCCCCCCTTCCTTCAAAGCCCACTGCGTCTGACAATTCTCCCCAACCCCCTGAGGATTGCTGTAATCTACCGGCCTCCTGGACCCGTATCCCGCTTCCTTGATGACCTTTCCGCCTGGCTACCCAATTGCCGACCTCCTCCATTCTTCCTACCACTCCATCCCCCACAGCTATCTCCTCCTGTACCACTATCCCCTCCCTCCTAGATTGTAAGCTCCAAGGAGCAGGGCCGAACCTCGAACCCCTCGTGTATCACACTGTATTGTTATCGTACGGTCGCATGTTCGGTCTTCCATTGTAATGTACAGCGCTGAGCGAACTGTTGGCGCTTTATAAATACTGTATAATAATAAAAATATGGGATTTAAATAAATAAAACATACTCAATACTGCAGCACCTGTGTAATGCTAAAGCTGTCCAACGCCGACTAACACCAAGAACATAACGTAATACAGTTAACACTGCAATAAAAAACAATTTTACAAATTGGAGAAAGCATTATAAAGCATGCTGGGTAGCTAAGCAGACACCTACTTGGCTTTGTGTGGATCTTCTACTTCAAGATCCCAGACATACAACTTTCCCACCTGGTTTCCAAGTGCAAGCATCTGGATACGGAAAGAGTTATACGAGACAATTAACATTTCCTCGAGATTGCTCTCAATACATATTTTTATACTATTTTAAGAGAAAAAAAAAAAAAAAAAAAAAAAAAAACACCTGGCACACAGTAAGGATTATAACCAGTTCAGCTTCAGAACAATTTTTTAAATTTTTCGCATACATGTAAAAAAAAAAAAAAAAAAATCTACATTTTTTGACAATGAAATTAATTAAATCCCCAGAATAATATATTATTTTCCTGTAGAATAAAAGAGGTTGATATTTGCACAACTGTTTGCAAATTTTTAGGAGAAAATATAATTAAATGAATTTTAGTGCAAAAATACACAATAGAATACCCATTTTTGGTTAAAATATAAAAGAAGAGGTTGCATCGAGCAAATAGATACTAAACATTCCATGTCTTAAAATTACATGCACCCGCGATATCACCAAAAACTACAGTGTCCAAAAGTCACCATAGGTGACGCTTATAAGAATTTACAGCTCATCAATTTCGAGTCAACTAGTTCTTATGCTAGAATTATTGATCTCACTGCCATTCGCGGTGATATGTCACACATGTAGTGCGACCACGGTTTACATACGTGTGCACACCCTGGGCTTGGGTAGGTGTGCGGGGTAGGTAATAGTGGTTATGACAATTTTCTTAATTTTAATATATTTTATTGTAATTTTCTTTAACTTTTTTTCTTTTACTTGATTGCTATTACAAGGGGTAAATAAAGCCCTATATCAGTGGTTCTCAACCTGTGGGTCGAGACCCCTTTGGTGGTCGAACGACCCTTTCACAGGGGTCCCCTAAGACCATCAGAAAACACATATTTCCGATGTGTAAAGAGCAGCTACTGTGTTGAAAGCAGCTACTGTGTTGAAAGCAGCTACTGTGTTGAAAGCAGCAGCAGTACTGGAGGTAAAACGACACTCATGAATTATAATTACTGGGTAAATAATTTTATGGTTGAGGGTCACCACAACATGAGGAACTGTATTAAAGGGTCACGGCATTAGGAAGGTTGAGAACCACTGCCCTATATGATCGCATTGGGCAGGTGACAGGTACTCTTCATGGAGATATTAGGGGTCTAATAGACCCCAATGTCTCCCTTGCCCTTCACACCATCTAACCAAGCACAGATTGGCTTGGTTAGATGTGTCCTCTGGCTGTTCTGGCCAGGAAAGGGTGCATCTGTAACCAGAAGTGACAGTTTCTGGTTTCACTGTTTGTCTGAGAGATCAAAGCATGGATTTGCCTCGGTCTCACAGCGCTCTCCCTCCCCTAGCTGGTGACTGATCCCGGGAACCACAGGAGGAGGGGATACTGACTATGGAGCTGCTGCATCACTTTCAAGCCGGCTGAAGAAAAAGCACACAAGCTGATAGCTGCTACTGCAACCCCTTCCTGCCCAGTGCCATTAGTACAGTGTCAGTGTTGTTTTTTTTTTTAGCACTGATCACTGTATTGGTGTCACTGGGGATGTCAGTAACACCAAGTTAGTTCCCCCCCAGTATCAGAATTCCCGCCGCCGTCCCGCTAAAAGTCGCTGATCGCCGCCATTACTAGTAGGGAGAAAAAAAAATCCCAGTATCTATACTGCCATTTGTAAACACTATAACTTTCATGTAAACCAATTAATTTACACATTGGGATTTATTTTTTTTTTTTAGCAAACTACATTTTGGCCTAAATTTATGACGAAATATGATTTCAATTATTTTCACTGGACATGTTTAATAGCAAAAAGTCCAAAATATTGGTTTTTTTCCCCTCAAAATTAATCAGTCTTTCTTGCTTCTAGCACCAAAAATGTAAAAAAAAAAAAAAAAAAAAAAAAAAAAAAACCCTGTACAAGCGATCGAATACCACCAAAAAAAAAAAAAGCTCAATTCGTTAGGGGGGGGGGGGGGGGGGGGGGGGGGGGGGGGGGGGGGGGGGGGGGGGGGGGGGGGGGGGGGGGGGGAGGATGTAAATTTCATCTGGGTGCGGTGTTGCATGACCACACAATTGTCAAAGTAATGCAGCACCGTAACACAAAAAATGTCCCGGTCAGGAGGGCAAGTGGTTAAAAGGTTCATTTTCTGGATGTACATAGCACATTCAAAGAGGTGAACTGGATATGCAATTTTACATGAAGTACCCCGTTCTTTACCTCCTTTGGGAAAATCACCAGAAAGCAGTTTGCACTTTCTAAAGCTCGTTTCTAAAGGTTTGTATCCAGGAAGTTTACATACACTTGTACTCAAAAGTTTGCATACCCCGGAAGAAATCATGAAATTTTGGCATTGATATTGAAAATATGACTGATCATGCCAAAAAAACTGTCTTCTTTAAGGATAGTGATTATATGAAGCCATTTATTATCACAAACTCCTTTTAAAATCACAACAGAAATCACCCAAATGGCCCTGATCAAAAGTTTCCATCCACTGGAATGTTTGGCCTTGGTACAGACGCACACAGGTTAAAATGGCAATTAAAAGGTTCAATTCCCACATCTGTGGCTTTTAAAATTAGTGTATGTGTATAAATAAATCAATGAGTTTGTTAGCTCTCACATAGATGCACTGAGCAGGCTAGATACTGAGCCATGGGGAGCAGAAAAGAACTGTCAAAAGACAGTAACAAGTTAATGGAATTTTATAAAGATGGAAAAGGATAGAAGTGAAAGGTTTAGGAATCTCCTGATACTGAGAAAAACCCACAGGTAACCTCAGGAGAAATACAGGCTGCTCTGGAAAAAGATGGGTCTCGTTGCTGAGCACAATTCAACAATACTTCAACAAAAATTAACTGCATGGTCGAGTTGCCAAAAAGAAGCCTTCACTGCTTCAAAAGCCACAAAAAAGCCCGGTGAGGCATATCAAATTGTTGTCAGGCATATTATAACCAAGCTTTTTTGTGGCATTGGTGCCATAAAAAGCCACAAAAAAGCCCGGTGAGGCATATCAAATTGTTGTCAGGCATATTATAACCAAGCTTTTTTGTGGCATTGGTGCCATAAAGGCTTCTTTCTTGGATCTGGACCATGCAGTTCATTTTTGTTCAAATATAAAGTATAGTTGTATCTTTTTCCAGAGCAGCCTGTATTTCTCCGGCAGTTACCTGTAGGTTTTTCTTTGTATCTCAGATGTCTGGCAGTTGTGGCTGCAATCTTTCCCGGTCTACACTACTTTGGCTTGGAATCAAGAGATCCCCCAATTTTCCACTTTCTAGTAAGCAATTGAACAGTACTGACTGGCATATGCAAGGCTTTGGACATCTTTTTATATCCTTTTCCATCTTTACAAAGTTCGATTACCTTGTTACGCAGGACTTTTGACCATTCTTTTCTGCTCCCCATGGCTCAGTGCATCCATGTGAAAGCTAACAAACTCACTATTTATACACAAACACTGATTGCAATTAAAAAGTTTCAGACGTGGGAAATTAACCTTTAATTGCCATTTTAACCCGTCTGTGTCATCTTGTGTGTCTGTACCAAGGCCTAACATTCCAGGAGATGTAAACTTTTGATGCGGGCCATTTGGGTGATTTCTGTTATCATTAAAATTTAAAAAGGAGCCAAACAACTATGAATGGCTTCATATGATCACTATCCTGTGAAGCCATTTTAACCTGTGTATGTCACTTTGTGTGTCTGTACCAAGGTAAAACATTCCAGGGTATGTAAACTTTTGGGGCGTGTCATTTTAACAATGTTGTATGCAAAAGTTCTTCATGGTACACAACAGACATACGTGTAACATGAAATATGATCTATAAAAAGGTGGACAGCCTTTAAGCAGCACTAAGGCAGTTTCTTCAAAACTGCTACAGAAATGAATTGGTACCTCTGTTACCCAGTCTGTATAAAAACCACACACTGTAGGCCACAAAGAACAGAACCTTTTTTATTTGAAGTCCTGGATACTTTTATGATTGTCCACTTTTCATATGCAAGAGTTTATGTCAGAGAGCCTTGAAAGCCCCAACGATCGGAGGAACATTGAAGCATAACAAAAGGCAAACTTTTTTTAGTTTCAGATAGAGTAGAGAGGGATTAGAACACTATTAGGTTTTTATTGCTGTCTGTTCCCTCATTACGGAGATTCACCCCTCTCCATTTGTCCTGTTTACCATTATAAACAGTAAAAGACTCTCCAGATTTTGGGTTGTCCCCTGAAAACCAAAAGGGGGAATTTTCCAATGGGGACCCTAGTTTTGGTGGCCTGGGGGAACCCAAGAAATTAATTTGCAGAGATTTCCTCTAACTTCCTCAGCCCTAACTTAAAGTAAAAGGAAATCCCCCCCCCAATGGGACATAAATGGCAAAAAATAGACTGACGGGTTAGAACCTCACTTACACTATCCAAAAATGGGGGGGGAAAGTTGCCTATAGTTCTACTTTAAACGACTAAAAAAAAAAAAAAAAAAAAAAAAAAAAAGTATTACCAATTATCCTATGGTCTGAATGCTTTAAGAACAGTTTCTCTCACCTTTTGCCAGAAGTCCATAGAAAATCTCATATACCAGATATCACACTGGCTGTAGTCAAACCTCCCCAGGATTGTGACATTGGACTCGTTGGGCTTGATCTTATCAATGTCATCTTCCATTTTGCCTGGTTTCCAGCAAACAATGGCATTTTCACATGACTAATAGAAGAAAACACAAAACCAAAATAAAAACCATACGGGTAATGATTTTGTATCAGTCTTGTTTCACAAAAAAAAACAAAAATCAGTAGGGATGTTCATGATCCAAATTTAAAGAAACATTTTATTAAAAATTCAACACTTTATGTGTACAGACAAAGCATACACACATACTGTACATATACATAGACACACCTTCCACTACAGCTACCCTTTCTATATTATACAGTGGGGAAATTTATTATTTGATTACCTGCAGATTCATTAAAGTTTCCTCAATTACAAAGAAATGAAGGGTTTATAATGTTTATCATAGGTCTATTTTAAAATGATAGAGACAGAATATTAACCAAAAATCCCAAAACAATACATAATACAAATGTTATAAATGGAGTTGCAGCTCAGCGAGTAAAATAAGTATTTGATCCCAAGCAAAACATGACGTAGCACTTGGTTGGCAAGCACAGAGGTCAGACGTTTCTTCCAGTTGGTTCCCAGGTTTGCACACATCTCAGGAGGGATTTTGGTCCACTGTTCTTTACAGATCTTATCTAAATCCTTAAGGTTTCTTGGCTGTTGCTTGGAAACTTGAAGTTTCAGATCCCTCTATACATTTTCTATAGGATTAAGGTCTAAGGGCTATGCCCCTTCAAGACCTTAATGTGCTTCTTCTTGAGCCACTCCTTTGTTGCCTTTGCGGTATGTTTTGGGTCATTGTCATGCTGGAAGACCCATCCACGACCCATCTTCAATGTTCTGGCTGAGGGAAGAAGGTTCTCATCCAAGATTTTTACAATACATGGCCTCATCCATTGACCCCTCAATGCTGCAAAGTCGGCCTGTGCCTTTGGAGAAAAAAAAAAGAATGCTTCCACCTCTGTGTTTGGCTGTAGGGATGGTGTTCTTGGGGTCGTAGGCAGCATTTTTCTTCCTCCAAACACGACAAGTCAAATTAATGCCAAAGAGCTCAATTTTTTTCTCATCTGACCACAACACTTTCAATCCTTCTCTGAATAATTTAGATGTTCATTGGAAAACTTCAGATGGGCCTGTACATGTGTCTGCCTGAGGAGGGGGATTTCAATCCATGGCAACGTATTGTGTTACCAATGGTTTGTTTAGCGATTGTGGTCCCAACTGCCTTGAGATCATTCACAAGCTCCTCCCATGTAGTTCTGGGCTGATCCCTCACTTTCCTCATGATCATCCTTACCCCGTGAGGTGAAATCTCGCATGGAGCTCCAGACCGAGGGCGATTAATGGTTATATTGTATTTCTACCATTTGCTAATAATCGCTCCAACCGCTATCTCCTTCTCACCAAGCTTCTTGCTGATGATCTTGTAGCCCATTCCAACCTTGTGCAGGTCTACAGTCTTGTTCCCGACCTCCTTTGACAGCTCTTTCGTCTTGCCCATGGTGATGGTGAGGTTTAAATGGAAGAGATTCTGTGGACAAGTTTCTTTTATACACAGAACGAGTTGTCATTAGGAGCACCTTCTTATATTGACAGGACACCTGGACTAACCTGTGTACCACATGAGCACATAGCCAGACTGTGGGAGTCAGAATTATTGTTGGTTGGCAGGGGATTAAATACTTATTTTACTCACTGAACTGCAACTCCATTTATAATTTATAAATATATAGTGAAGCGCTATAGATCAATTCTAACACATGTGCAATAATATATAATGCTAGCCGTGCCAACATAATATTATTATTATTATACAGTATTTATAAAGCGCCGATAGTTCGCTCAGCGCTGTACATTACAATGGGAGACAGAACATGCGACAGAACAATACCAATACAATGCAAAACATGAGGGGATTGAGGGCCCTGCTCTTTCGAGCTTACAATATAGGAGGGAGGGGATGGTGGCACAGGTGGAGATAGCTGTGGGGGATGGAGTGGTAGGAAGAGTGGAGGAGGTCGGTTAGCAGGGGGTGGGGTAGGCTTTCCTGAAGAGATGGGTTTTTAGGGTGCGCCTAAAGGAGAGGAGAGTAGGTGATAATCTGATGGGTTGGGGCAGGGAGTTCCAGAGGATGGGTAACACCCTGGAGAAGTTCTGGAGGCTGGCATGGGAGGAGGAGATCAAATAAACCAATAGAAAAAGCGCCACACTGTATAACAAAATTAAACTGTGTGTTAGCAGCAACACCCAACCAAAAAAATATATATAAAATTATTTTGGCAAAGTGAACAATATCTAATGAGGGCATGCGCTCAATAAAAATATATATCACCATATAATTAAGTGTCCATAATAAATCTGTGCAAGTCCAAAACAAAACTCAAAAAATCCTCTGTGAATTCATAACACTGTGAATAATCCACCACCAAATGAATTAGATGGACTCACCAGAGCTAAATGCTGATCAAATTATAGACCAGCAATAGCGCTTGTGCTCTGGGAGCGATGGGTGAACGATATCCAGGGTATTAGAAGTAGTAATTTTCAATAATAGTCACGTCCAGGTGATCAATAATGGCAATCAGCATAAAGGACAGCATATCACTACCAGAAGCAATACTCTGCAGCCAAAGATCTCATGATGAATCTCTCCATTTAACTCCATATCACCATATATGCATGAGTCACTCAGGGACAAAGAAAAAAACATAATGGTGCAGTACGTTTAAAACACATATATATTTAATAAAATGTCAAAACAACTCACAAGAGAGGTGTCCAGACAGACACCAGCTTAACCAGCAATGCACAGCACTGAAGTAGTGGACGATCCCCGCTCACCGCGGATCACCTCCGACACACACTGGGAAAAGAGCGTCCTGACGTCAACATCGAGTAGGCCACTGGGAGGAGGAGACCAGGGAACTAGAGAGAAGGAGGTCTTGTGAGGAGCGGAGTGTGCGTGTTGGGTGGTACTTGGCTATTAGGTCAGTGATGTAGTTTGGGGCAGTATGGTGGACAGCTTTGTACGTCAGTGTTAGGATTTTGAATTTGATCCATTGCACAATCGGAAGCCAGTGGAGGGATTGGCAGAGGGGGGTGGCGGAGATGGAGCGGTTGGAAAGGTGGATGAGTCTGGCAGCCGTATTCAGGATCGACTGAAGTGGGGATAGCCTGTGGCGAGGCAGGCCAGTGAGGAGGGAGTTGCAGTAGTGGAGTTGTGATATGATGAGGGAGTGGATGAGCTGTTTAGTGGTTTCTGGGGTTAGGAACGTGCGTAATTTGGCGATGTTGCGGAGGTGGAGTCTGCACGAGTTTGTTAAAGATTGGACTTGGGGCTGGAAGGATAGGCTGGAGTCCAGAATGACACCAAGTACTCTGGCCTGCGGGGCGGGTTTGATGGTGGAGTTGTTGAACAGGATGGAGAAGTCAATGGGGGGTGGTGTCCGGGCTGGGGGGGGAAGACAAGAAACTCGGTTTTGGAGAGGTTCAGTTTAAGGAAGTGGAGCGACATACAGTCTGATATGTCGCTCAGTAGGTGTGTGATTCGGGCGGAGACTGAGGGGGTGAGGTGGGGGGTTGAGAGATAGATTTGTGTGTCGTCGGCATATAGGTGGTAGTTGAAGCCGTGAGAGTGTATGAGTTGGCCAAGGGAGGAGGTGTAGATGGAGAAGAGAAGGGGCCCGAGGACAGAGCCTTGAGGGACCCCAACAGAGAGGGGGAGTGAGGGGGAGGTGGTAGCATTATAGGTAACGCTGAAGGAGCGTTGTGAAAGGTAGGATGAGAGCCAGGAGAGAGCAGAATCTCTGAGGCCGAGGGAGTGTAGTTTTTTGAGGAGGAGGGGGTGGTCGACTGTGTCGAAGGCCGCAGAGAGGTCAAGGAGTAGGAGCAATGAATAGTGGCCATTAGATTTGGCGGTTAGCAGGTCGTTGGAGAGTTTGAGTAAGGCAGTTTCGGTGGAGTGTAATAGTGCTCAGTGGAAAAAATTACAAAAAATGCAATTGAATGTTCACCAATATAAAGGGAAAAAACAAAAAAAATTATGTATATCCATAAAATTGTGTAAGTGGTTCTTAAAAAAAGGGGGAAATCACATCCCGTGCTGGTATATCAATATCTAATATAAACACAATAAACATTAAAAGATCAAAAAAGGAAAATATCTGTGTAATTATAAAGCAAAGTCCATGCTAGTGAAACTGTGCCAACGTGATCTTCACCAGCGAAAAAGAAAAAAAAAATATCCTCAAATGGCAGCAATGCCTGCTCACCTGACCCCACAATTCCACTCATCACAGGGACCATGAGATTGAATATGAACTTCTCCCCAGCGCACCTTATCCACGCCACCTCCACTTAAGGCCACATACATGTGATACAAAACAAATATCCTTCCATAGTGCAGTAATCTTTTTATTTGAAAAATGGAAATACTTGATATTGCACTCACATAAATTGCTAGTAAAAAAACACCTGTCACCACATCCTATAGGTGTACTGCATGGTTAATGGGTGTAGCAATATGGCTGCTGCGTCCGGAAGTGCGTCACCTCGTACCGGAAATGGCGTACCGACGCGTTGCGTCACGTGCCTTGTGACTTCATCAAACCTCTATTTCTGTGATGTACACAACTTTCCAGAATGTGTTTATATTAGATATTGATATATCAGCACAGAATGTGAACCACTTACACAATTTTCTGGATATACATAATTTTTATGTTTTTTTCACTTTATATTGGTGAACATTCAATTGCATTTTTTTGTAATTTTTTCCACTGAGCACCATTATGTTGGCACGGCTAGCATTTTATAGCACGAGATTATTGCACATGTGTTAAAATTGATCTATATATTTATAAATTGTGTTTACACTTATTGGTATAAGTTGAGTGGCAGCAGCTATAACTAGATTTGCATCATCCATAATAACCGCAGGAGGACATCCACATTTAACTCCATTTATAACATTTGTATTGTGTATTTTCTGGATTTTCGGTTGATATTCTGTGTCTATCATTTAAAATACACCTATGACAAAGAAATGAAAGGTCTATAATTTTTTATAAGTGTCAAACGTACAAAATCTGCCGGGGATCGATTATTTCCCCCCACTGTACATACATAAGCAGCGAGTGTGTACAAAAATGTGCATTCTGCTGAAAATTAGGCTTGAATCACGGCTTCTAGCTTCCCGTTACTGATAATTCCCCAGCTACTGGGGGAGCTAGCAGAAAAAGGAGCCTCCATACATGTAAGTAGTGCAATCCTTCCCAGTACACAGCCTCCCGCCTTCGCCACCCGTGCTACAGAGCACACACTGCAAGGAAAACTCAAAGGACAGGAAGGTAGCTGTGGATGGCAAGGGGCTGAGCATATTCAAAATATGGCCTTCCCTCAGGCACTAGAAAAGGGGGAACCATGCCTCCTGCCGGTAATGGGGAGGGGTTCTGGAGCGCAAAGATTTAGGTCACCTGAAGGGGGACAAAAAAAAAGGTTGTAAGGAAAAAAGACAGCTGAAGAAGGACAGAAGCTCTTCTACCCAGCTTTCAGGCAACAGGTCTCTCTTCCTGACAGAGAAAACATGAACTGACTAGTTTGGAAGAAGGTCTTTTTGAAGTGTTTTTTGGTGACACATTACCTGTTGAGGAGACTCCTATTACATGTGCTGTCTTGGAAGATGATTTGGGAAAATTAACTGCACACCGATGCACGCAATGATTAAAGTGATATTAAAGATTCAGGGTTTAAAGAATTAAAAAAAACCCCCACATATTATACTTACCTGCTCTGTGTAATGGTTTTGCACAGAGGAGCCCAGATCCTCAGGTCCCCCGACAATGGTTCTGGCTCATCCCCCCTTCGCGTATCTCCCCTTCCCCCAGCAAGCCCTTTGCTAGGGGGAGTTCTCATGCAGGCTCACTCCTGAGCCCTGCTGGCTGCATCTATAGGCACAGAGGTGTGGATAGCATTTGACTGACAGCAGGAGCCAATGTCTCCATCTAACATCAATCTGTCTAGTGAGGAGGGTGAGAGCCGCTGCTCTTGCACACAGCGCTAGATTGCTAGAAGATTTACCTTAATGCAGAGAGTGCATTAAGCGTAAAAACCTTGAGGCTTTAAAAACCACTTTATTAATCTCTTTTTTGTAGCATACCAATTCTAGCCTACTGTGATGTTTAGAACCTTTTTATACAGTCCCAGAGTGCAAAGAAAAAAACAACACTCTTCCAGGCTACATTCTAGAATTACGTCCTGCTATTAAACTCTCTGGCGTTAGTATTTAAAGTTGTGTTCAAAATAATAGTGTGTTGAAAAAACTGAAAATCCTTCTAATAGCTTTTATTTCCATACACACAAATGCATTGGGAACACGACACATTCTATTCCAAATCAAACATGAAAAAAAGATATCAAATTTGTGTTGTTCCTCTAAAAAAAAACTGTAGAAAAGTGAATATTAGACGGTTTCAAAAAAACTGCAGTGTTTGTATTCTTCTTTACAAACTCAAACATTCACTATATAAACTGAAAAATATTTGAAGATTTTGCTTTCCTTTGAATGACTTAATGAATATTTGGTTGTAGTCGCACTGTTTCTGAGAACTGCTGTACATCTGTGTTGCATGGAGTCACCCAACTTCTGGCCCCTGTGATCAGGTATTCCATCCCAGGATGATTGGACTACATTCCACAGTTCTTCTCTATTTCTTGGTTTTGCCTCAGAAACTGCATTTTTGATGTCACCCCACAAGTTTTCTATTGGATTAAGATCCGGGGATTGGGTTGGCCACTCCATAACGTCAATCTTGTTGGTCTGGAACCAAGATGTTGCACGTTTACTGGTGTGTTTGCGGTCGTTGTCTTGTTGGAACACCCATTTCAAGGGCATTTCCTCTTCAGCATAAGGCAGCATGACCTCTTCAAGTATTCTGATGTATTCAAACTGATCCATGATCCCTGGTATGCGATAAATAGGCCCAACACCGTAGTATGAGAAACATCCCCATATCATGATGCTTGCACCACCATGCTTCACTGTCTTCACAGTGTACTGTGGCTTGAATTCAGTGTTTGGGGGTCGTCTGACAAACTGTCTCCGGCCACTAGACCCAAAAAGAACAATCTTACTTTCATCAGTCCACAAAATGTTGCGCCATTTCTTTTTAGGCCAGTCAGTGTGCTCTTTGGCAAATTGTAACCTCTTCAGCACGTCTTTTTTCCAACAGTGGGACTTTGCGGGGCTTCTTGCAGATAGCTTGGCTTCACATAGGCGTCTTCTAATTGTAACAGTACCCACAGGGAACTTTACACCTTCTTTCATCTTCCTGGAGCTGATTGTTGGCCGAGTCCGCGCCATTTTGGCTATTCTTCTATCCATTCCAATGGCAGTTTTTCGCTTTCTTCCACGTCTTTCAGGTTTTGGTTGCCATTTTAAAGCATTTGCCAGCATTTTAGCTGAGCAGCCGATCATTTTCTGCACTTCTTTAAATGTTTTCCCCTCTCCAATCAACTTTTTAATCAAGGTACGCTGTTCTTCTGAACAATGTCTGGAACGACCCATTTTCCTCAGAATTTCAGAGAGAAATGCACTGTAACCAGCATGTACAACATTTGCTGCCTTCCTTCCTTAAATAAGGGCAATAATTGCCACCTGTTTTTCAAAGAATGAATGACCTCACTAATAGAACTCCACACTGCTATTATTTTGAACATGCCCCTTTCAATGAGTGATTCAATGACACAGAATCAGCAGCATGCATGTCATGACTGTTGGGTCTGTTGGATTTCTATTACTCTACTATACCTGCTAGTAAATTATTTGCCATGTAGAAATATCATTTCTACCAAAAACAGTGATTGATCCGGTTAGTGATGTCTGACTGCTATTATTTTGAACACAACTGTATATGCTCTGATAGGCTTAGGAAAGACCCGGCACGCTCTGGTGCTCAAGACCATCATTAAGCTGAAAAAAAAAGTCTCAAATTAAAGGGTAGGGGCAGACTGGCCATTACTGCCTATAAGCCACACACTGTTACCAGCCAAACACAAATTCCTGGGCCAGAGATGCCTATGGGCAGCAGGTGAGTTGTATTGTAGCATGTTCTATTTACACATAGACCACTGCAATAAAGCTTAATGGTTTACCTTTGACAGTATCAAGTCTCCAAGCCACCTGACACAATCTACGTAATTTCTGTGAATGTCTCTTGTAGAGAAATCAGAAAATGGATCTTTTGTGAAATAAACGGCCTGTGAAAACATAAGACATGGTTGATATTTTTCAAGAGTATCATGTGAGAAGTATTAAAGGCAGTGTTAAAAGGGCAGAATTAAACTGTGCAGGATTCACTTTTAGAGCACTAAAAGAGAGAGATCAGCATGAGCTCATCATTCTGGCAGGAAAAAGGAGGGCTTGCTTGTTTATGTAAAATCTGCTTCATTGTGCACCTATGCTGCTGTACCCACTTATGGGCTCCATTCAGAAGGGCACTGAGACCTGTTCTCTGTTCTCAGCCAATTTTTTCTTTGTGTGCATCCACCTCAGAGCGGCAGGTAGGCAGCCAGTCAGTTCCATGCACATCCATTCATTCAGATCCATGTAACCGTTCATGCCTGCATATCAAACTATGACATGTGACTGTGTCCATGCAGTTTCTATATCCACTCCTATAGGCTGCCCATGTACAACTCTGGGATGGATGCATATGCAACAAAAGCAACTGAGCATGGAGGATGGGTCAAAGCACCCGTCTGAATGACCCCTAACAGTTTAACCTGGCACAGCATCATCAAGGAATGCAGCACAGGCCTGGGATGTGTACCTACATCATCGGTGTGCAAAACTACACTTTCAAAATTCATGCTTCAACTTACATATTACCTGCAGTGGAAAATCAACTGTTCTGTCACAACAGGTAAATCCCCCAATAATAACCAATTAATTTGGATTACCTGAACTCAAAAAGCTAATATATCCCCAATTCCAAGAAAGAAAATGCACTATTTTAATAAAAAAATAAGCATGTTGAAATAGCAGCGACACATCAAAAAAGTTCTCTGGCAAAGAACATTCCCAATTCCAATTAAGTTGGGACAGGGGAACAAAAAGCTAGCAAAGTATATCCCCAATTGCAAATAAGTTGCATCAAAAAACATGCAAATTACATCCCCAATTCCATAAAAGTTGGGACAGGCATAAAAATCTGGCAAAGTACACCACCCATTCCCAAAAACATTAGGACAGGGCCATGTGTACCATAGCCCTATTTTTTTTTTTTTTTTCAACAACACTCTGTACATTTCTGGGAACTGAGAGCAGTTGCTGGAGTTTTTGGAGAGGAATGTTGTCCCATTCTTGCAAGAGCAAACGCTGCTAAAACCTAAATGATCATTCAGAACTGATTGTGCCTTTCCAGATTTCAAGTTACCCATTCCATACACACTAATGCACCCCCATACCATCAGAGATGAAGGTTTTTAGAGTGCTGATAAGCTGGAAAGTCCCTCTTCTCTTTAGTCCAGCATACGCGGTGGGCAAATGGCTGACAAAAAAGAATGTCAAATTTTGATTTGTCTGACCACAGACAGTTTTCCACTTTGCAACAGACCATTTTATATGAGCTTTGGCCCAGAGATGGCGGCGTTTCTGGATCATGTTCAGATATGGCTTCTTCTTTGCATGATAGAGCTTTACCCTGTGTTTTTCGATGGCATGGCAAACTGTTCACAGACAGTGATTTTTGGAAGTATTCCTTAGTCCATGCAGTGAAATCCACCACAGAATCATGTCTGTTTTTTAATGCAGTGCCCTTTGAGGGCCTGAAGAGCTTGGGTGTTTCGGCCTTGTCCCTTGCGCACAGAGATTTTTCAAGATTCCCTGAATCTTGAGGATATTATGTACTGTAGATGATATATTTAAAGTTTTTGCAATGTTTAATTGAACATTATGCTGAAATTGACAATTTTTAGAGGCAGCTTTTCACAGATTGGTGAACGTCTGCCCATCTTTAACTACTTGATCTCTGGAAGATTTACCCCCCCCCCCCCCCCTTCATGAGCATGCCATGAATGTGATCTGCGTTACAACTGACAATTGCACAGTAATGCAATGCTGTACATAAAATTATATATCTATGTAATTTTTTTTCCCCACAAATAGAGCTTATTGGTATTGGATCACCTCTGGTTTTTTTTATTTTTTGCGTTATTAATGAAAAAAAAACAATACTTTTTACTTTTTGCTGTAAAACATATCCCAATAAAAATTAAAAATTCTTGATAAATTTCCCAAAATGTATTCTGCTACATATTTTTGGTATTAAAAAAAATCCCAAAAGCGTATACTGATTGGTTTGCGCAAAAGTTATAGCGTCTACAAATGGCAGTATATATACTGGAGTTCTTTTTTTATACTGGTAATAGTGGCGATCAGCGACTTATAGTGGGACTGCGATATTGCAGTGGACAGTCTGACACTGACACTTTGTGGCAACCAGTGACACGACTAGTGATCAGTGCTAAAAATATACACTGTCCCTGTATAAATGACACTGGCTGGGAAGGGGGTAAACATCTAGGGCAGTGATGGCGAACCCGTGGCACGCGTGCCACAGCCGGCACGCCGAGCCTTATCTGTGGGCACGCCAGGAGAATCCAGCGGCGCGCTGTCTTCCCGGCTGTAGTGTGCGTGACAGCCGGGTCCCAAGTGCGCATGCACAAGAAGCAGTGCTCTTTGTGAATGGTAAGGCGGTACCTGGGACACATGACAGATCCCAGAAGCCGCCGGACCAATCACAAAGCGCAGCGCTTCTCGCGCATGCGCACTGGGCATCCGGCTGTCCGACCGCCCACACTACAGAAGCCGGGAAGACAACGCGCGGCTGGATAAAGGAACAGGTAAGATTAAAAAAAAAAACTCTGCGGAAGTAAGAGCGGGTACCTGTCAAATTCAGGTACCCGCTCCCCCTCCCTCCCCAAAGGTCAGCAGTCATCCCTGTGCTGTCCGCAGTCTCTGGTCATCCCTGTGCTGTCCGCAGTCTCTGGTCATCTCCTGTACTGTCCGCAGTCTCTGGTCATCTCCTGTACTGTGTCCGCAGTCTCTGGTCATCTCCTGTACTGTGTCCGCAGTCTCTGGTCATCTCCTGTACTGTGTCCGCAGTCTCTGGTCATCTCCTGTACTGTCCGCAGTCTCTGGTCATCTCCTGTACTGTCCGCAGTCTCTGGTCATCCCTGTACTGTGTCCGCAGTCTCTGGTCATCTCCTGTACTGTGTCCGCAGTCTCTGGTCATCCCTGTACTGTCCGCAGTCTCTGGTCATCTCCTGTACTTTCCGCAGTCTCTGGTCATCCCTGTACTGTGTCGCAGTCTCTGGTCATCCCTGTACTGTGTCCGCAGTCTCTGGTCATCTCCTGTACTGTCCGCAGTCTCTGGTCATCCCCGTACTGTGTCCGCAGTCTTGGTCATCTTCTGTACTGTTCGCAGTCTCTGGTCATCTCCTGTACTGTGTCCGCAGTCTCTGGTCATCTCCTGTACTGTGTCCGCAGTCTCTGGTCATCTCCTGTACTGTCCGCAGTCTCTGGTCATCTCCTGTACTGTCCGCAGTCTCTGGTCATCTCCTGTACTGTGTCCGCAGTCTCTGGTCATCTCCTGTACTGTGTCCGCAGTCTCTGGTCATCTCCTGTACTGTGTCCGCAGTCTCTGGTCATCTCCTGTACTTTCCGCAGTCTCTGGTCATCCCTGTACTGTCCGCAGTCTCTGGTCATCCCTGTACTGTGTCCGCAGTCTCTGGTCATCTCCTGTACTGTCCGCAGTCTCTGGTCATCCCTGTACTGTGTCCGCAGTCTCTGGTCATCTTCTGTACTGTTCGCAGTCTCTGGTCATCTCCTGTACTGTGTCCGCAGTCTCTGGTCATCTCCTGTACTGTGTCCGCAGTCTCTGGTCATCTCCTGTACTGTGTCCGCAGTCTCTGGTCATCTCCTGTACTGTCCGCAGTCTCTGGTCATCTCCTGTACTGTCCGCAGTCTCTGGTCATCTCCTGTACTGTGTCCGCAGTCTCTGGTCATCTCCTGTACTGTGTCCGCAGTCTCTGGTCATCCCTGTACTGTCCGCAGTCTCTGGTCATCTCCCTGTACTTTCCGCAGTCTCTGGTCATCCCTGTACTGTCCGCAGTCTCTGGTCATCCCTGTACTGTGTCCGCAGTCTCTGGTCATCTCCTGTACTGTGTCCGCAGTCTCTGGTCATCTCCTGTACTATGTCCGCAGTCTCTGGTCAGAATCTGTACTGTGTCCGCAGTCTCTGGTCATCTCCTGTACTGTGTCCGCAGTCTCTGGTCATCTCCTGTACTATGTCCGCAGTCTCTGGTCATCTCCTGTACTGTGTCCGCAGTCTCTGGTCATCTCCTGTACTGTCCGCAGTCTCTGGTCATCTCCTGTACTTTCCGCAGTCTCTGGTCATCCCTGTACTGTCCGCAGTCTCTGGTCATCCCTGTACTGTGTCCGCAGTCTCTGGTCATCTCCTGTACTGTCCGCAGTCTCTGGTCATCTCCTGTACTGTGTCCGCAGTCTCTGGTCATCTGGTATCCCTGTACTGTTCCGCAGTCTCTGGTCATCTCCTGTACTGTGTCCGCAGTCTCTGGTCCGCAGTCCTGTACTGTACTGTGTCCGCAGTCTCTGGTCATCTCCTGTACTGTCCGCAGTCTCTGGTCATCTCCTGTACTGTCCGCAGTCTCTGGTCATCTCCTGTACTGTCCGCAGTCTCTGGTCATCCCTGTACTGTGTCCGCAGTCTCTGGTCATCTCCTGTACTGTGTCCGCAGTCTCTGGTCATCCCTGTACTGTCCGCAGTCTCTGGTCATCTCCTGTACTTTCCGCAGTCTCTGGTCATCCCTGTACTGTCCGCAGTCACTGGTCATCCCTGTACTGTCCGCAGTCTCTGGTCATCTCCTGTACTGTGTCCGCAGTCTCTGGTCAACTGTCCGCAGTCTCTGGTCATCCCTGTACTGTGTCCGCAGTCTCTGGTCATCCCTGTACTGTCCGCAGTCTCTGGTCATCTCCTGTACTGTCCGCAGTCTCTGGTCATCTCCTGTACTGTGTCCGCAGTCTCTGGTCATCTCCTGTACTGTGTCCGCAGTCTCTGGTCATCTCCTGTACTGTCCGCAGTCTCTGGTCATCCCTGTACTGTGTCCGCAGTCTCTGGTCATCCCTGTACTGTGTCCGCAGTCTCTGGTCATCTCCTGTACTTTCCGCAGTCTCTGGTCATCCCTGTACTGTGTCTGCAGTCTCTGGTCATCCCTGTACTGTGTCTGCAGTCTCTGGTCATCCCTGTACTGTGTCTGCAGTCTCTGGTCATCTCCTGTACTTTCCGCAGTCTCTGGTCATCCCTGTACTGTCCGCAGTCACTGGTCATCCCTGTACTGTGTCCGCAGTCTCTGGTCATCTCCTGTACTGTGTCCGCAGTCTCTGGTCATCCCTGTACTGTCCGCAGTCTCTGGTCATCTCCTGTACTGTGTCCGCAGTCTCTGGTCATCCCTGTACTGTCCGCAGTCTCTGGTCATCCCCTGTACTGTCCGCAGTCTCTGGTCATCTTTCTGTACTGGTTCGCAGTCTCTGGTCATCTCCTGTACTGTGTCCGCAGTCTCTGGTCATCTCCTGTACTGTGTCCGCAGTCTCTGGTCATCTCCTGTACTGTGTCCACAGTCTCTGGTCATCCCTGTACTGTGTCCGCAGTCTCTGGTCATCCCTGTACTGTGTCTGCAGTCTCTGGTCATCCCTGTACTGTGTCCGCAGTCTCTGGTCATTCCTGTACTGTGTCCGCAGTCTCTGGTCATCCCTGTACTGTGTCCGCAGTCTCTGGTCATCCCTGTACTGTGTCCGCAGTCTCTGGTCATCCCTGTACTGTCCGCAGTCTCTGGTCATGATCCCTGTACTGTCCGCAGTCTCTGGTCATCCCTGTACTGTCCGCAGTCTCTGGTCATCCCTGTACTGTCCGCACTGGTCATCCCTGTACTGTGTCCGCAGTCTCTGGTCATCCCTGTACTGTGTCCGCAGTCTCTGGTCATCCCTGTACTGTTAATTAGTTTGCACTACTGTACGAGTTGTTTTTTCTAAACCAAAAGCTCGATATTCAGGTTTCATTGCAGTGTTGGCACTTTGAAAGAAATAAGTTGGTTTTGGGTTGCAGTTTGGGCACTCTCGGGCTCAAAAAGGTTCGCCATCACTGATCTAGGGTAATCAAAGAGTGTGTGCCTAGCCAGTGTTTTTGTGTGTACAATGAATTTTAACTAGGCAATCCCCGAATATGCAGATCGCCATAGACATAACACAGCTCTGCCTTGTTTACATAGGCAGAGCTGTGTTCTGTCAGTCTCCTCGGAGATCAACAGCTACCGAAGCTCATCCAATAGCCGGCACCTGTTGATCAGCTTCTGCTGTGTTTAATGACAGCAAATGTGGCACTCCAGCAGCAGGCACCCCTCCAAGTGGTGGTAATGCAAAATCACATTTATATACATGATTTTTGCACAGAAAGTTCATCCTGTAGCAGTAAATCTGCTATAGGGCAGATGGACAGTGGTTCATTCTGAGACACTGACTCTCTAAAATGTTTCTTTATACCCAATCGTTACTGACGTGTTGCCAATTAACTGCTTCCCGTCTACCCTATAACTGTAATTCTGCTACAGGGCGGCATGGGTGCGCAAATCACGTTCCGAGTAGGGGGCGTGCGCGCCCTACCTGTGCTGCTATTCGCGGCCTCAACTGTCAATCACCGGGTCCCGGATGGTGAGTACTCACCGGCACCCGGTGATCGTGGAGCATTACCAATGGAGGGAGAGAAATGTAAGTAAACAATACAGTTCTCTTCCGTCAGCGCCCGCACACTGCTATGCATGGCTTTGCATAGCAGAGCCATACAAAGCAGTGTTCTTACAGTGACACACACACACACAGTAAAACAGCACACAGTAAACCCTTTGATCACCCCACATGCCCAGTGCCATTAATACAGTGCCAGTGCTTTTTATAAGCACTGATCACTGTACTGGTGTCACTGGGGATGTCAGCAACACCAAGTCAGTTTTCCCCAGTGTCAGAATGCTTGCCACAATCCTGCAGTCCCGCCATAATTCGCTGGTCGCCGCCATTACTAGTAAACAAAAAAACAAAAAAAAATTCCAGTATATATACACCATTTGTAAATGCTGTAACTTTCACGTAAACCAATTAATTTACACGTATTGGGATTTTTATTTTAGCAAAGACATGTAGCAGAATACATTTTGGCCTAAATTTATGACAAAATTAGATTTTTTTACATTTTTCTAGTGGACATGTTTAATAGCAAAAAGTAAAAAAAAAATATTTTTTATCAAAATTGCCTTTTTTAATAGCGCAAAAAAAAAAAAAAAAAAAAAAAAAAAAAAAAAAGGCAATCAACTGAAAAAAGCTCTATTTGCGTGGTAAAGAAAAAAAAAAAAGACATTTCATTTGGGTGCAGCATTGCATGACTGCGCAAATGTCAGTTAAAATAACACAGCTCCATAAACACAAAAAAATGGCCTGGTCAGGAAGAGGGGTAAATCCTCTGGAGGGCAAGTGGTCAACCAAATTAATTGCAAAATGATCCTCAAGTTCTTTCTTGCTATACCACTTTGCCAGCTTTTTGTTGCCCTGTCCCAACTTTTGAGACATGTTGCTGCCATCAATACCTTTTATTTTTCTTTAATATGGTAGATTTTCTCAGTTTAAACATTTGATATGTTTTCTATTGTGAATAAAATATGAGATTTGAAAAGCATTGCATTAAGTAGATTTTACAAAGGGTCACAACTTTTTCAGAATTAGGGTTGTACATATTGTACGCACACGCGCACACACACACACAAAGACAGGTCACCTATTTGTTTTGTTAGGATTGTATTCATAGGAGTCTTTGATTGCAGTATGCATTCTTTTTGAGTTTAGTCGCCACAGTTTGAGTGAATGGTCCATTCCACACGACATAATCTTCTCTCCTAGCAGATCATAGTCCTATAAGCAACATATGCAAACCATTAACGCATACTGACACAAAGCTGTTGATATTATAAACATGCTAAGAAAACTGTTCAAAGGTAAGCAAGGACCTTGAAGCATAGTGAGCCTGTCTTCACAGAAATATAAAAAAACTGGTGCAGAGTAAATTCGACATCGAGCAGAGAACAATGCTGAAGAATGCTGCACCATTGCGCATTTTTCTTGCAGTTCTTCTGCCCTTTTCTAGAATTTTTTTTCTCTATGCAGCTAATGCAGTTATCCCATTATATTTGAAATGCATGGAAACAATGAGTGAGCTCAGATCTCAATTAACCTACCAGCATGTCTTTGGAGTGTGGGAGGAAACCGGAGTACCCGGAGGAAACCCACGCAGGAACAGGGAGAACATGCAAACTCCAGGCACGTGGTGCCGTGGTTGGGATTCAAACCAACGACCTGAGTACTACCAGGTGGAAATGCTAACCATTTAGCTACTGTGCTGCTGTGCTAATTATGGAATACATCCCTTGCACCTAAACGTTTGTCTTAAGTCTTTTCTGTCGTTCGTATTTTGTAATATGTTCGAGCTTTCGTAATACTGTTTCTTTTATGTAACTAGATAGATTGTTTGTGTTAGTTTAGATCTCCATCCTATTCAACAATAAATTTTGGTTGTTTCACTTCTGGGTAAGAACTCTTCATTTACCAAATCATATCAGAGAAATATTATATTTCATAATCTATAGATTTGGTCAACAACGCAGACCAGGTGGGTTTTTTTTTTCCTGCCTCTAACGTTGAGTTTAAAATATGCCTCCAAAACACAACTCCTGTAGAAGCAGCAATTTTTTAACCACTTCCCGTCTGGCCGTTGTATATAAACGGCTGGACGGTGGCAGTGCAGGGTCGGGCGGTTGTTTATAAACGGACTCCCCGCACCCTGCTTGTGCGTGCTCCCTGGGAGCACGCAGCACCGCGATCCAGTGCCCGCTGTGTCCTCCGAACACAGTGGAACACCGATCGTCGGACAGGACTCTGTACGAGGTCCCGATCATGTGATCACTGATTGGCCAATTGACTAATTGACTAACTTTTTTTACTAAAAACAACGGAATACATTTTGGCCAAGATGTATAATGAAATACTATTTGCAAAATTTTATAAGAAAAACACTTTTTTTTCAAAATTTTTGGACTTTTTAATTTACATAGCAAAAAAAATTAAAATCCCAGCGGTGAATAAATACCACCAAAATAAAGCTTTATCCGTCTCAAAAAAATGCTAAAACATTTATATGGGTACAGTGCTGCATGACTGCGCTATTGTCATTCAAAGTGTGATAGCGCTGAAAGCTGAAAATTGGCCTGGGCAGGAAGGGGGTAGAAGTGTCCGGACTGGAAGTGAAGCCAGTGTGCATGGAGCCCAACTCGCTCAGCAGATGCGCTTCTGTTCAGCATTAAGGCTAGGTTCACTTATGTGCGGGTGGTTTCACTGCAGATCTGCATGAAAATCTGTGCAGCTGCGCCACCGAGAAATGCGGACCCGCAGGCGGGTGCCAATAGTTCTAATGGCACGCCGCCCGCACTGGAAAATGCAACCGTACCGAGAACCGAGGTTCCCGTGCGGGCTGCATTTTCGGAAGAAGTGCAGGGACTTTATCTCTGCGTGTCACAGGGCACGGGAGTCCATTCAAATGAATGGGCTCTCGTGGCTGCACAAAATGTGGCCCACACGGCCACATATATGTGAACCGGGGCTAAGAAACACTTTGAATGAAAGCCAGATGACAGAACAAGAAGCAGAGAACAACTTACCGCACTTAATACTTCATCTCTATGACCTTCTACACCTCCGAATATTGCAACCAGAGTGTCAGTCTGAATATTCCACAATCTCAGTGCATGGTCTGCAGGAACAGCAAAGCAGTTTTGCCAATTCAAATGTAATTATTCAAAATGCATGGAAAATGTTAACAATTGTCTTTGTCACATAGTCACTGAAAAACAGACAGATTCCACAGGCTCAGTACTCCTTCCATACCTATTAAGTGCAGAAAATTACCTTTGCTTACAGATAACAGAAGATTTGGGTCTCTTGGGTGAAACTTTAATTCATTGATTGCATTGCCGTGGCCCACATAGTGCTGTAACGAGAAACAGAAAGCAGGATTAAAAGAAAAACATCTAATAACAATGATCAGGTTATGTAATGGAAAAACTAAGACTTTGAACAAGCAGGTTATGTGCAAATTGTGGTGCTCTGCTGTGAAGCCAACCAGCTCTATTTTTCTTGTTTCTCCACCTATGCTTTTTCATCTACAGTTGCATGGTTGTGACTTTTCTTTAACCACTTGCCCTCCAGAGCCTTCCTGACTAGGCCATTTTTCATGTTACGGCGCTGCGTCACTTTAACAATTGCGCTGTCATGCAATGCTGCACCCAAATCAAATTTATGTCCTTTTTTCCCCACGAATTGAGCTTTCTTTCGGTGGTATTTGATCGCCTGTGCGGTTTTTTTTATTTTTTGCACTATAAACAAAAAAGGCTGACAATTTTGAGAATAATATTATATTTTTGACTTTTTGCTATTAAACATCTTTAACAAAAAAAATTTGTGATTCCCAATACGTGTAAATTAATTGGTTTAAGTGAAAGTTATAGTGTTTACAAATGGCGGTATATATAGTGGAATTTTTTTTTTTTGTTACTAGTAATGGCGGCGATCAGCGGCTTAGCGGGACTGCAGCAGGCATTCTGACACTGGGGGAGAACTGACTTGGTGTCACTGACATCCCCAGTGACACCAATACAGAGATAAATGCTAATAAAAAGCACTGACACTTTACTAATGTCACTGGGCAGGAAAGGGGGGTTAACTGTGGGGCTGTTTGTGTGCTTTCCACTGTAAGCATACGGCTTTGTATGGCTGGGCTATGCAGAGCCCTACAAAGCAGTGTGCAGGAGCTGACAGGGGAGAGAACTGTCGGTAATACTCAGCGATCACCAGGTGCAGGTGAGAAATGCAGTCAAATACAAATATATATATATATTTACACACAAACACATATACATACACACATATATACACACACATATCTATATATATATATATAACATATATATATATATATACACACACACACACACACATATATACATACATACGTACATACACATACATACATGTGATTTTAATTTTGCGCACCCACCGCCCTGTAGCAGTCTCTTTCTGCTATACAACGGACGGGAATCGGTTAATGTGTACTTTTACTATAGACACCTTGAATTAATGGGCAAATTTGTAAGCCCAGCACCCTTTGATAATGTGCATCGCACGAAACGCATCAGAGGGGCTACAGTATCCGGACGTCTGACCACCGCTGGTGACCATCCTGAACGGTATCTGGTCAGTGTTTACCTTCATTTTTATCTCCACCTTTCATTGCTGTGTTACCCTTTGATACAATAAACTCAGTGTCTACGGTATCACGCTATGTGGTGTCCCTTATTGGGCTCTCTTCATTGAGAGTCCCCACTTGCAGAACCTGTTCAAAGGAACCACAGATGGTGACACGTTTGAGACTCTTGGAGTACCTACCCTGAGCTGCGATTGGAAGGTGTATGATCCTGACCTTACCTTGGCAGTAGATGACCACTACCTGATGAAACAGGATAATTTCACATGCGTATTTTTGACGCACTTCTGGTGAGTGCGCACTTTTTTACCCTAGATTCACCGTGTGGTACACTGGAACCCTGCCCCACGCACTCATTAGGATCTACCAGATCCCCACGTGGGCCCTCATTTTTCTTGGGACTTTTTATTCACTCAAGTTCACCTCAGTGTGATCCAATACTCTGCACTTTATTTTATGCTATAATATGCTGTCCTTTTTATGTTATTTTAGCGCTGTACCTTTATATGTATTCTGTTGGAAGGTTCATTCTTGGTTACCTTTTTGGTGTTCTAGCAGTTTTAGATAGCACTCGCATATTACCTCTTTACAAATTTGATACATATTTAAATTTTTCTGGAATGCAAAATCACAACTCACATAACCTAATAAAATCTGTTATTCTGCTTTCTCCTCCTATCAGCATGCTTCTGGTAAGTACATGATCTGATTAGCCCCTGAATGTCCTCCTTCCTCTCCATCTCAGAGCTCCGCTGTACAGGGACTGCAATTTGACACCAAGTCATATTCAGGGAATTACACAGCTCGCATTTGAACAATGTATTTATTTTGTTTTACAATAAAACAGAGCTGCATTTAGTGTTTTTATATTATATGATGAGCTTTAGGTTTTAACATCCCAAAAATTGAAAATTTACCTATGGATTTTGAGGGACGCGGGTAGCGAAGTACTTCCAGCTAACAAAGGTAGGTGAAAATGAACGCTTGCACACCAGCTGCTTACTTTTGCATGATAATGTATGTAACAGGAGTACTTAACCCTTTTGTGACAAAAGGTCAAGAAATAGAGATCCCCAAACCAAATATAGCAACATCAGAATGAATGGGTTAGCTGGGGTTTAGTTGCCAGCTGAGAGAAATAAAAGCTGCGATAGTAGCCAGGAGACCTACTGCAATAGCTTTAATACAAATACTGAAATAAGTGACCTATTCAGCAGATAGGAGAAGAGTATATTACATTGCATCCACTAACCTTGATACACTGCATAGTGATAGGATTAATAATACGAATGATCCCCCTGGACCCAGCCACTGCAAGGAGTGGGTGACTTGTGTTGCTGTCATACGTCCATGCACAGGTGTAGAAGTTTTCATCTGCCTATATCTTACACTTAAGGAGAACACACAAAAGAAAACTGCTGCATTGTACAAACCTATGTGCAGTGCCCATCCCCCCAATCCTTACCTGAGCCCCTCCCAATCCAGTAACATTCGACAGCCTATGCTGTTTGGGGACTCTTACCCTTCATTGGCTAACAGCAGCAAGAGCTATTGGCTCCCACTGTTGTCAATCACAACCAGTGAGCCAATGAGGAGAGAGCAGGGTGGAGCTGCGACTCTGTCTTATGGACGCATAGAGCAGTTGCTCAGGGAGGAGCACAAAGCGGTGCCCCCAGGGAGAGTGGCTTTCCCTGGGGGAACTGCTCGAGGAGGAGCCAGGTGCAACGGTGTGGACCCGAAAAGAAAAGGATCAGGGGCTGCTCTGTGCAAAACCATTGCACAGAGCAGGTAAGTATGACATGTTTGTTATTTAAGGGAAAAAAAAAGCCAAACAAAAAAAAAAAAAAAACCCCAACAACAAAAGCTTTGGTGTCATTATAAAACTCATATACTACTAGAAGCGCTAGAAGTACAGCTTCCAATTTTGACTATCAAATTTTTGGCCTGTCTTGAGCATGCACCATAGAACATCCTAAAGGGAAATCATAATGGTTCTGGGTCAGTATTAACGATTTTAACATTGATAAGATTTTAAACATTTTGTCATTTTTGTAACTCTATGTATGCATTTTTGTGTGTCACAAATAAACATTTTATACATAGCAAACGATTCCCAAAGTAGGATGGTTTATTTAACGTGATTGGAGGCAGGCTGCTACTACTGTACTGACTGGATTTGACTGAACCTCAGATTGTGCCGTCTGATGATGGATAAATCTCTCAGTAATTGCAGTTTATACTACGGACATCTATACAAAAGTCTGTTCACAACACCCTGACTAGCAGGACTATAAGTGACTGGTAAGTCTTACATTTTATTTTTGTTAAACAACAAACAGGCTCACACTCACCTGCTTTGTGCGAACGCCTGGAATCTCCACTTCTGGGATTTCCTGATGGCGCTCCTGGTTCCTCCGCTTCTTGGTGTGCCACAATAGGAAGCAGCTTCCTATTGTGGAACATGTGTGCTTGATCCTGAGCCATGCTGCCTGTGTCCACTGAGACAGATAGCATGGCGTAGCACCACCCCCAAGCTCCTCATCACATGATTTGACTGACAGCAGCAGGAACCAATGGCTCCCGCTGCTCTCAGCAAAGCTTGTGAAAGCAGGGAGAAGAAGAGCAGAGTGCCCCTGTAGAAGGGCACAGTGCTGGATTGTGTATTAGAGGGGGTGATACTTTACCCTAAACATGTTTTACCTTAATGCTCCACTTAGATTGTAAGGGGAATTTTTTTTCTTTAAAAACAAACTTGGTATACTTGCCTGCTCTGGTTTTGCAGAAAATGGCCCCGATCCTCCTCAGGTACCCCACTGCGCTCCTGGCTCCACTGCTGAGGTCAACCTTAGCAAACCCCTTACTATGAGGGCACTCATGCTGGCTTGCTCCCAAACTGCGCTCTGTGTGTCCATTGACACACGTAGTGTCGCTTGGCAAAGCTCCCTGCTCACTGGCTGAGATTGACAGAGCAGGAGCCAATAGCTCCCACTGCTGCCACTAAGCCAGTGAGGAAAGAGAAAGAGCTGCAATGCTGCATTCTTGCAAATCGCTCTATCGACATTGGGCTCGGGATGGGGGAAGCTGCACACAAAAGGTTTTGTAACTTAATGCAGAGAATGCATTAAGGTGGAAAACTGCCTTTAGAATCACTTTTAGAACCACTTTAAAACCCTTTTGATGCTAGATCCGTACATCGTAAGGACTTGACAGCGAGGGGTTTTGCACATAATCTGGTGGCTGCAGCCACTGGGATTGTGTATAAAATGGACAGGAAGACTCCTACCCCCACCCACCGGCAGGTGGAAGCAGTTGGATGGTTGCGCAGCCGCCCAATTGCTTCCACACGACCCGGTAACTGTGCTAGGGTAATTTATTTTGCTTGTTTGCCCTAAAATTCACTACAGCGTGTTTTTTTTAACTGACATTTTGTGTTTCTTAGACCTTTGCAGTAATAGCGTGTGACATTAATTGGAACTACCACTTATTCTCTAGGGGTGTCTGCTTTCAGAAAAGATGTTTGGGGTTTTGTGTAATCTTCAGAACTAAAGAATTTTTAAATGTGTAAAATGATTGGGGCAGCGCAAGGGTTAAAGCTCCACTTGCTGAAAAAAACAAAAAACACACTTTTCTGAGTAAAGGAGAAGTATAGGGTTTTTAAAAAAAAAAAAAAAAGTAAACCTCAATGCTGCAGCACCTGTGTGATACTGCAGCAGCCCCATGTTGGCTCGAAGACCAACAACTGAGTGATCACATGACCGCTGATCATTCAGTTATCAGTCTTCTCCAACTGGAGAATTGCGACCATTGCTCTCCGCTCAGTGCCTATTGGAGTGTCAGGCTGGGGAGGGGGCAGGTGCAGCTGGCTCTTAGCCATGGTTTGAGAGGAGAAGAAAGCTATCAGGCAGCTGGGTGGTTCCGGTCAATATTGTTATGATCCTTTTAGAGCCTGGAGAGGTTCTGTCCTGCCAGCTGACTCAAGGTCACAGGAGAACAAGTGCACCCACAAAAGTAGTATGGCCAAAATAAAACATTTAACATAGAATAGTTGATGGCTAAACGCTCGCTGTACAGAAGAAAGAACAAGATATTTTCTGGGTCAAAACAAAAATGCTATTATATTGAAATATCCAGGGGCATGAACACATACACTGATCTCAGCATGAGAATAAGACCTGCAATACTTTTTACTTTACAATATGCACAGAAACAGGAGCAAAAACTGAAGGATACATCAGCGTCTACGTAAGACTGCAGTAATCGGATTTCTCCTTGTGAATGACATTCATATAACGTGACCTGTAACCAGAATGAGAACAAGTGAGGTAACACAATTTTGTTTATAATCACAAGCAGCAAGTGATATGAATACAAAAGCAATCAGATAACATCACACCCCAGCATCTTCTCTCAGCTGTCACCATTATTAACGGTTGTTTCTTTAACACCTTCTATCAAGGCTGCAGTGATTGGCAGCTTGTACCCACCCCTCCACCACAGCAACACGGTAGGTACAAAAGACAAACAAAAAATCAAATCTGGACAGAACACAAGTTTGTAACTTTTTTCCCTCAGTAAAAATGATTTTGCAATTCAAAAAAAAAACACAAAAAAAAAAAAAAAAAAAATATATATATATATATATATATATATATATATATATATATATATATACATATACACACACACACATACATACATAAATGTACATGTCTAACTCAGAAGAGTTGTTTTGCGTACAAAAAACATTGCATTTAAAACAGAACACTGAAGCAAAAGCTAGCCCTTCAAACAAATGTACACATCACATGAAAATGGAACAGAAAAGGAGGGGGGACGTTAAATCTCTGGGCAATAAGAAGCCACTAGCAGTCGTATAACCTATATTCATCTGGTCATCTCAGGTCTACAATAATTAAATTCCAGGAAAGGTTTTCTTTACATAGATACATTGATCTATTTGTAGACCAATGTAACGGAGTATTTACCACACCTGGTCGAATCCTCAGTGAAAAATCACTGAGACACCGCTACTTCAATGATCTCCTCTTACTTCCAGGTCCCATGCTGAACGACTAGCCTGATGTACAGTGAATACAGGAGGTTGGCAGCTCAACACGGCTGCCATTCAGAGAATGCTTTGCATTTTCTGAATGAATGCAAAGCGCTCTGATTGGAAGAGGTGGCGAAGCAAGGCAATGATGTCATGCTTTCCACCACGTCCAATCCGAGAAAGCTTTGGATGTGTTACCTATAACGCTGCCATCTCCCCTTCACTACCTCTCTCTGTTGGAGTCCCTCAAGGTTCTGTCCTTGGACCCAGAAAAGGAGGGGGGACGTTAATTAAATCTCCTGGGCAATAAGAAGCCACTAGCATCTGGTTCATGCTCAGGAAAAAGGGATGTAACGGATTATAAATCTCTCAATCACTGATCCACCGCTACTTCAATGATCTCCCATACTTCAGGTCCCATGCTTGAACTACTAGCCTGATTACAGTGAATACCAAGGAAGCCATTCAGAGAATGCCTTGCATTTTCTGAATGAATGAGTGCTCTTGATTGAAGAGGTGGCGAAGCAAGGCAAAGTATGTCATGGGTAACTTTGGATGTGTTTTTTTACCTAGAACGCTGTACCTCTCCCTCTCTTTTCTCTTCTCCATCTACACCTCCTCCCTTGGCCAATTGATAAACTCTCACGGCTTCAACTACCATCTCTATGCTGACGACACACAAATCTCTCTACCCCTCACCTCACCCCTTCAGTCTCCAATCGCATCACCAGCCTACTAAGTGACATACTGGACTGGATGTCACTCCACTTCCTCAAACTCAACCTTTCCAAAACTGAGCTCCTAGTATTCCCCCCAGCCCCGCCCCCCCCTCCCCCCCGACTTCTCCATCAAGACCAACACCACTATTATCAGTCCCACCCCTCACGCCAGGGTGTAATCCTAGACTCCAATCTGTCCTTTCAGCCCCAGGTCCAATCACTGACAAACCCCAGAAACCACTAAGCAACTCATCCACTCCCTTATTATATCACGCCTTGACTACTGTAACTCCCTCCTCATTGGCCTACCTCATCGCAGGCTATCCCCACTCCAGTCCATCATGAATGCTGCTGCCAGACTCATTCACCTTACTAACCGCTCTGTATCTGCCACCCCTCTCTACCAATCCCTCCATTGGCTCCCAATTGCCCAATGGATAAAATTTAAAACACGAACACTGACATATAAAGCCGTTACTAACACTGCCCCTAATTACA